ATATATACATACAATGATCAAACATTTGAAACGCATGCACTAAAGCAAATATATATTATTTAATTTTTTAATGTATGAACAAATTTCAGAAAAAAAATTGAATTCAAATAAAAGAATAATTTATTGTATTTTATTAGTTTTGGTAATTTATTATTGGTGGTTTAATTATTATTATTTATGGTTATAATAATAATGTTTGTTCTCTTTTGAAGAGTACTTTTCTTTTTTAAATGATTGACTAAACAAAAATTATATATTTTATTATAAATAATAATATATTTTTATGTGTTAGTATGTTACCATTTAAATAAATTTTAAATATTTTATTTCTATATAAATAACACTATGAAATATTACGTATTATATAAACACACTTTGTAATATTTGAAATATACTAACAAAGAAACAAACAAAAAGTAAAAATAACACATTTTAAATTAATTTAATTAATTAACATTTGTTATATTACAAATTTTCAAGATTACTTATAACCAAATCTAATATTACAATAAAATTTCTCTAATAATAATATATTATATTGATATTCAATTCTGTTAGAACAAAAGGGGTTGATAATTGATAAAAATGTTAGAGACTTTTCAATAAAAATTTTGTTAATAATTGTAAAAATAAAAAATACAAGATACATACATTGTAACAATTCCGCTTGACAATCAGTGAACATTTCCGGACTACGATTTCGCTTTAACTACTTCTTAACTAGCTTAGATAGCAAGCAAGGACATGGAGTCAGCCAAGTTCAGTCAAACGGAATCGCACACACACACACACACATATAAAAGACTTTTAAGTTCTTATCAATAACATCGCGATACAGAGTGCAAGCATATATTAAACGTCAATTCTCCCCACTACGATATAGATCAAGAATCCACCCCATATGTTGGATTAATCGTGAACCAACGAGATCGATTCATGTATATATATATATACCTATGTATGTATCTACATGCGTACTTCATTTTTTTACATAGGCTGATATCGATATCGTTTAAAGTTCTTCCTCGAATATTGCTCCTCGTATATTACCATTTTACCATTTCTTTTTTTTTTTTTTATTATTATTTTAACTTTCAACAAGAAATTTTACTACTTTTTTTTACTTCTTTTTTTTGGTACACAAATTTTTACTACGATCAGTATTAGTTAAGATAATTTGAAATGTAAAAAATAATATCTTTTTTGATGATTATTAATCAATTAAATAAATATTATTATGGTGTTTAGAAATACGAAAGGTATTTTAACTTTGGTGGTACAAATGAACAGAAGATTTAACTGAAATAATTAAGCTGGAAATGTTAAATAAAAATTGTTCGTATAAATTATTATTTTTTTTTTTTTTTTTGAGAAAATAAGTTTGAAAATTAGTCGAGTAAGAATTGCATTTGATAAAGTTTTAGTTCACTGATTTTTTTTGCATATTTCAATAATCATTTTTATAATTGTTAATAAATATATTTACAAATATTATCAATATGATGAACGAACAAGGTTTTTACTTTTCAAGATTGTAAGCTTAATTATTTTTTACTATACTAAATATTATTCTATAACTCTCAATTTATATTTTGTATTTAATTGCAAGTTCAATTTCTCTTTTTACCATACTAAATATTATTTTACAATTTTCAATCTATTTTTTGTATTTAGAATCATTCCTTGATTTATTATACCAATAATTATAAGACACCGTGTATAATATATTCTATTATTATTATTATTATTATTATTATTATTATAGAAACTTACCAAAATTAGATTGGGAATAATGTTTCCTTCGGCAACCGTTGACGCAAAAACGTGTTGGTTTTTCTTGGTTGTTGTAGATAATGCCTCCTATTTAATTATTAAATGAAAAATTAATTATTAAATATTATTTATCATATGAATTTTAATGAAGTAAACAAAAATAATGATTACAATAGTTATCTATATTATACAAGATTACGTAATAATAAGATAACCATAAGCAATAAGATGGAAAAAGCAATATGCAAAGTGTACTTGAACAAATGAATTGGACGATGAATTATGATGACGGACGATGATGAATCAAACAATCTTTTAAAACAATCAACGCATTTTCATCAATTGTGTATACCGAGAAATCTAATTTTGTCTTTTTTAATCTTTCTATCTTTTTAATACAACACGTCATATTATTCACAATTAATCGAATAAATCTTGTTGAACAATAACAATGATCATACATTACAATAACAATAGCAATCATCGATTAATTCGTTATTTTTTTTAATTTTTTCTGAAAACTATTTATCATTTTTATCTCACGATCTATTGATAGCTCACTAAAATATTATTTAATAATAAATAATTAAAGAACAAAATAAAATTCATGTTTATATTTACGCAACAAGTGTTGAGAATTTAATTTTTGTAATTGTCATTTTGTTGAACAATAACAAAGATCGTTGTTTCCAAATTTTTTCTAAAAATTATTAATCGTTTTTATCTCATATATCTATTCGTATACCTATTACCTAATAATAAATAATTAATAAAACAAAATAACATTCATATTTATATCTACAGAAAAAGTATTTAAAATTTGATATTTCTAGTTATCATTTTGTCGTACAATAACAAAGATTATACTTTTCAAATTTTATCTAAAAATTATTAATTATTATCTCACAATCGTATACCTATTACCTAATAACAAATAATAAAATAATAATCATATCTGTATCTACAAAAAATTATTTAAAATTTGATATTCCTAATCGTCATTTAGTTATACAATTACAATAATCATATTTTACAAATTTTTTAGGAAAATTATTAATCATTTTTATCTCCAATCATCTACCTATTATCCAATAACAAATAATTAAAGACAAATAACAAAATAATTTTCATTAAAAATTTATTAAAAATTATTCATTAAAATATTAAAAATTTGATATATTTTGATATAATTTGATATATTTTTGAAAATCGTTCGGGTATATATTTTTAATTGAAATATCACTTTATATTGCTAAATATATATTTTAGCAAAATAATACCCGTACGATGGTCTCTCGGTACTGTGAGATACGGACAGGCAGCTTTATTGTAATCGATCTCCTAATTTTGACTTCCTGAGAGTGACCATTAGGGGAACCAGTCAACTGCTCGTCCGCAACTGTGTAGGAACAATGTCACTGGAATATATTTACACCTCCACTAATTTTAGTCGGTTCAAGGCTTATGGCTACCTGCTGACATGTACTATTTTTAAATGACGCTAAGTTATTTGTACTAACACACACATGTTTTCTTTTTGGATATAGAATGTTCAATCTAACTTCACAATTTTCTACTGGCCAACTTAAATACCCTCCCCCCTTCCCTCCTCCTACTCCTCATCTTTCTTCTCTTACTCCTCTTTTGAGTTTTTCTTTTTTGTTTTTAATAGTTTGTTTTTATTTCTATCCTTCTCTCTCTCTCTCTCTCTCTTTCTCTCTCTCTCTCTATCTCTCTCTCTCTCTTTCTGTCTTTCTTTTATTTACTCCTTCAAGGCGCGTAACACTTGGCAAACTTTGCTTAAAACTGTCTTGGCTTATCGAAACGACGCATCATCGTGTCTGCGATCTCATTCTCGAAATTTTCGAAGAATTTAAGTTGTTGATCACTTATGCGAAAACATATTTATACCTTTCAATGAATTTGGAATTTATTTGAAATTATTTAAATAAATTAATTAAATGATATATACGAATCAATCGTTTTCCCAAATTAATTTTTGTAACAAAAATTCTAATGAAAATATAATATTGTAATTGTGTATTATTACCAAGATTTATTATTATAAAATTTATTAATATCTATTACTGTATCTATAATGATTTATTTTTAATTATTATTAAATAATCAATTGTCATATAAAGTGATTATTTTTTTTTTATTATACAAAATTTTAATTTGAAAATTTAATTTGCGTATTATTACCAAGATTTATTATTATACAATTTATTAATATCTATTACTGTATGTATAATGATTTATTTTTAATTATTATTAAATAATCAATTGTCATATAAAAAGTAATTGTTTTTTTTATTATACAAAATTTTAATTTTATTTATAATGAACTATCAACTCACGATATTTTGATAATATTAAATTTCGTAAATAAAATTAAAAAAAAAAAACATAAAAATGCATCGAATGAAATTGTTCTTATGCACTTAAACCGTTCGTGACAAACTCGTTTGTTTTATTAATATCAAAATAAACTCGTTCGTGTAAACTTTCACAGCCTTTTATTAATAAAAAAAAAAGAAAACGAAACAAAGAAGAAGAAGAAGAAGAATTAATAATGATCGATGTTGATTAAGAATAAAGATCTGTTGATCTTTTTAATTATAACTAAGAGAGATTAATTTTACACAACACATACACCCCACACATAGATAGATCGATGACAAATAGATTATAATTAACTGATCTTGATATCTATCTAGAGATATAATATAATCTTAAATAAGAATGAATTCTAATGAACGTAACACTAAGATACATGTTTTCTTCGTAACATTTTAGTTCATGATTTTCTCGTGAAAGTACAATATGCATATATATGCATACATATATATATATATATATATATATATATATATTATAGTTTGGTCAAACGTTAATTAAATGACCCCTATTTTGCATTCAGTGGTATGAAGTAAGCAGTAGTATTAAGATCGATAGAATAGAGAACCGTTATGCAATTGTTCAACCGTTTATTCGATTCAATTGGTATTGCGTTTATATTGACGATTCGTTATTACATGTGTACAACTATGTACATAATATATCTATCTATCTATATATATATGATTTTATATTATTCTATATATTTCTTCCTCTTGTTTTTCTTCTTCTTCTTCTTCTTCTTCTTCTTCCTTTCCAAAGAGACGTGTTTCTCTTCCAAATGAAACTAATAATTCTGATTTATACACAGTTAAATAACACATTGATATAAATCTCTTACAATTACAACTTTACAAAAACAACAAATTAAGTGTTATCTTTTCACTTATCTATTTATCTTCCTATTATTTTATATAAATATAAATATAATTACAGTTTTATCTCAAAAAAAAAAAAAAAAAATAACCAATTATTTTGTATTCATATTTTTTTTTCCTCACGGAATATAATTTCATTATTTCCGGTTATTACTCATTCAACACACTCACTCAAATGTTGCTGTGTTTTTTGTTGCAATTAACTAAATTTTTGTTCTCAGCGTTTAGGGGCTGGGGGGCATTGCTGGTGGTGGTGGTGGGGACAAGGGGTGAGTTCTGTTTCTGTATCTTTTTTRTTTTGTTTTATTTTGTTCTTCTTCTTCTCTTGGAATTGAACTTACCAAATGGAACACATCCGCAGATTTATAATAAATTTGTTATAAACTTCGTCTAATATACGTTTTATTATAAACTCGTTCGTTCTTTAAGAGGCAACTTCCTAACGTTAATGCGTCGACGACAGAGGATGTCTAGCAACTGTCCCACAACTAAACCACGTACACTTTAATTTCCTACGAGGTACTCTCTCGGGCTTGTTGTATAGCGCATCACGTGATTTTAAACTAAACTCAACATCAGTTCAGTCAGTATAACTCATCTTCCAACGCCTTCCGTTAAATTTACAAGAGATGAATATCTTTTTTTTTTGCTCTTTAAACATTTAAATATTTAGCACCCATAGACATTAAATTAGCAAACAAACGAATTGTATGAAAAAATATTTTCGATCATTCGAATCTTATGTGATATTTTGCTAAGATGGAGAATGATAAACGAAAATAGTAACGTAATGGCATATTAGAGTTAATTGACGATTTAAATACGTAATCATTTTTGAATTATGCAAACGTTTATATACGTGATCAGAAATATCACGAAGATTGTTGTTTATTAAGTGTATATGTTCATTTTTTTTTATTATTATTATAAATTATATTTATAATCTAATTATTTTGTAATTAAATAACATTAATTTGAAATATGTGTAAATATTATTGATTATAACACTTTTACATAAATGATCAATGTTTAATTATATACTCAACCCTGAGGGTTAACTCTGAGTATCTATTTGTTTTTTAATTAAAAAACTAAAAGTTTTAGGAATAACCATGTGATAACAGTATTGAAAAAATGTTATATTATATAAAGTTTTCATTTAATTTATTATATAAAACCAAATCCACATTTATTGGACCAATATTCATCTATATATCAAATGACCATCTATATTTAAAATATTATATCTATTTAATATATTATATTATAATATTTATTATATACACAATATTATAATAGTTATAATATTAATATATAATATTAATTATTATAAAATGTATATATATATATATAATATTTAATATAATATAAAATTAATATTATATAATATATAATTATAATATAAATATATTATATTATTAATTTTTTGTAATAATTAAATATAATATATAATAATAAATAAAATATATTATTAATATATTATATTATATTAAATAGATATAATATTTTAAATATATTTTTAAATAATTTTATATTAAATATATTTTTCTTATATACTTTTCAATAAATTGAAATCAATCAACACATTCAAATAAAACAAGAAAAATAATATTCTTCTAAATATTTATGTATATATATACCACCCTCGTAAAGTTAACGAATGAAATTACACGCACCCATAAACACAGACAGTATACAGACAGATCTAAAGATACACCATACATTATAATCCATGCATTATGATTCAACTCACGAAGTAGAGTTTTCAATGCCATAATGAAAGGGTTGAAATGGTGCGTATGGGTGGCGTATGAGTGTTCACGGATAACGAGTTTCAAAGGGAACTCACCTATCGATTTAGACATGAAAAAGAAAAGGGAAGAGAAAGAAAGGGTTGGCTCTAACGTTTTATCGGTTAGGTGAATTCCTAACAATTTAGGGATTGATTATTTCAATCTTATTATTACTAGCCATTTTTCAATCATATAAAAATTCAATATATATATATATATGTATATGTATATATGGTATAATAAATGAAAAAGTTTCGTACGAGATAGACAGAAATAATCTTCAATGAAATTATATTGAGACCTTGAACGATATCGTATCAAAGAGAGGGAAGATACATCGAAGTGGTATTAGCATATAATGCGTGTATATGTAGATACATGTGCATATGTATAAGTGTATAGCGTGCTTTAGGTAGATATTCTCGTGATTCTAAAACAACGCTGGTGCCATCAAGTCTCTCTCTCTCTCACTCTCTCTCTCTCTCTCACTCTCTCTCTCTCTCTCACTCTCTCTCTCTCTCTTTCTTTCTTTCTTTTTCTTTCTTTTGCTATTATACAAAGAGCTAAAGGTGCATAAAGGATCGATCGTAACTCGATTATTATTATTATTATTATTATTATTATTATCATTTTAATCTATCAATCTATCGCAATATACCTGTCACAAATAATTATGACACTTTGATTATAACTAAAATATTGATTTCTTTTTTTTTTTATTCAATTTTTTTCTTTAAAAAGTGTATCATAATTATTTAAATATTGTTAGATCAAATGATAAACTAAATTTGCAATTTTTTTTTTTTTTTAATTCTTTTTTAACAAGCATATATATCTATATGTTAGTAAAGTGATTGAAATAAAATGAAACAATTGGTGATTTTATTTTTATGCTAAATATTAGCAACTTACGTTTAGAACAATCACGTAGCTCTGACGTAGGAATTATAAATAATAATAATAATATTTAGGAAAATAAGAAGAAGAAGAAGAAGAAGAAGAAGAAGAAGAAGGTGGTGGTAGCACTTTTTCACAAAAGGGACGGAGAGGAGGGTGAACGAAGCGGCTTTTCCACGTGCTTTCCAGGTATTTTAAATAGCACGAGATTGAAATTTCTCGTTAATTAAGATGCACGTTTATGATATATACCAAATAAATTAAACAGATTATTTTTATAAATTACTCTTTTCTTGGATGGTATGTCTAACACTTGTTTCCTTCGTAATCGGTCCTCTCTATCCCTCGGAACTCATACAAGGGGTGGTCCACCCTCTTATGCGATCCATACGTCCGTAGTCAATAACCGGTGCCATCTGTTGTACGATATACGAACTAATTTGTAAACTGTTACTATTGGCGCGTATATTTAAAAGATTAACCCAATTAATTGTTATATTTTAAAAAACTTTGTTTACTCATTGATTAAGTATTGGTTTAACATTATTTTTTTATCGATATTTGTTTAAACAAATAATCAATAAATAAAATATCTGCATAAGGCCGTATATAATCGTTATTAATAATGATTTATTATATTTCTTTTATATTTAACTAATTATTCTCTTATATCGATATTTTTTAAATGGATAATTAATATTTGTAATAAAATATTAATTATTTAATAAATTAATTTAATATTGTATTTAATATATATTATAATATAATTGTAATTTTAATATTAATTATTTTAATATTAAATTATTAATATTAATAATTTATATAATTTATAATTGAATTAATTAATTTATAATTATTTATTTCTAATTTATTTATTTAAATTATTTAATTTATATTAAGTAGTATTTATAATAAAAAGAAACCTTAAACTATATATTTTGTATTTATACTGGACAATTTATATTACGAAATAATAATACTTACCACAAAAGTATTTGAAAAATATAATAAAATTAACCATATAAATAAAAGTAAAAATAAGAGAAAAAGTTAAGGGGTTTTATTTTTTTTAATTTTTATTATTTCCTTTAATACGTTTTTCAAAATATTTTATTTATTTTATTTTTTTAAATTATTTATCCTATAAACATTATTAATTAAATAATTATATCTTATTATTACCGATATAATAGTTTATTATGATAACAGTTTCAATCTGCAATTAAACTTTACAAGGGATTGTGAAAAGAAAAAAAGAAAATCATTTCTAATATTTCTAAAATTGATATAAGGATTAAGCATGTTCTATATTTGAATCATTTCATTATTTACAATGCACACAGACAAACTTTACAAAATTTTGAAATGCTAGACATTAATCTTCAACATCATCGCTACGATTTTACGTTATACACATATCGGATTACAATAATTAATCAATTTTAAAAATCAGTCCGATTCTTACTAATCGTAAGATACAAGTATTTGTTTGTTTATTTTTTTTTTAATATATATATATACATATATATATACATAAACATATACATATATATATATATAAAAATATCTCATTGAATTATTTCTTTTCTTTGTCAATATCACAGCGTGACATACATGTTAAAAGTTCATTAATTAAATACTGTATATATATAAATATATATATGTAAATATATATACATATATATATATATATATAAATAAATAAAAAAAAATAATAATAATTACGTACAACGTAAACGATCGAATCAACAATCGCTCGATTTCGATTTACATACATTGTTTAGAGAGAATGAATGAAATAAAGTAAGTGTGTGTATGTGTGTGTAATTGAGAAAGAAAAAGAGAGAGAGAGAAAGAATGAGAGAGAGAGAGAGAGACATATATAAACAAACAAAGATTTCAATCAAAATATTTCCGTATGATTATTCTCTTATTTTTCTTTTGTCACACAAGTATATATATTTATATATTGTATATAATTCGTCGACGACTTTATAATAAACGATATTTTTGTTTTTAAACAATAAAATTAGTCACGACGTATATATAATGTACTATAATATAAAATATACCAAAAACAGATTTAGTAGAAAACGAATTCGTTTCTCTTTCTTATTTGATTTGTTTTTTGTTGATTTTTTATTTTTTTTTTTTTAATTTTTTTTTCCCTTATATTTAATTATTATTTGGATAAAAAACTATTCTTCGATAGTCGACACGGCACAAACTCACAAAATAGGAGTATATTTAAAAAAAAAATAATATATAAGATCATTATCTCGCAACCAGGAAAGATTTTTTCTTTCTAATGTATGAAAGTTTCTCTTTTTTTTTTTTTTTATCATCGATATTGAGAAATCGATGATTCAGTAATTTCATATCGATCATTGTATATACAATACTACGTTGTTAAATGTCATTTCATGACGACTTATAAAGTTATGGTTTTATACTTCCTCGGCTCTCTTGGTGTACTAATGCATATATATATGTGTGTGTTTATGTGTATGTGTATGTGTGTATATATATACATATATCACAATTTTATAAATCCCCGGTGTCTTTCTTGTGACTGAGAGCACTCCGGTATACTCTCACTAGTCAAGTGTTTCTTCATTCATTTCAGTAATTTCCCTTTCATAATAATCGATCATGTCGGTCAATTCGCATCCTTTAGAATGACCTTTTCAAAGATCTCTTTTAAACTTGTATAAGTTCCAACTAAAAGACCGATTACTCCGATAACAACGATTAATAAATTTTTAAACAACATTAAAGCTCTGGTCCATCGACCAGATTCTTTCCAACATGTGCACAGTTGAATAATCGCAGGGAATCCTAAACCGAGAGCTGAGAGACACAATGCACCAAACAGGGATATGAAGTACTCCAAACTTGGAACTGCAATGGCCAGCAAAGCTAAAAAAAAAAAAAAATTATAATTAATTATTTTAATTAGTATTTTAAATATTATAATTAAGAATTAATAAAAACAATTGGATTGATTTGGTTTAATGAGAAAATTAAATTCTTTTGGATAAGTTTTTCAACGAATTTTGCAATATAGAATCTTTGCAATATTTTCATTAAAATATTTATATAAATTTGTTGATAATTAATCAAACAAATAAACAATATTGTATTTATCTTCTTACAATATACAATAATAAAAAATTTATATACAATATAAATATATAAATTTATATAATATATATACTAATATATATAAATAATTTATAAATTATTATATTTTATATATTTATATTATAATTAATTTATATAATAATAATATTATATTATATATTATATATTATATTTATTTTATTTATTGAATTAATATTATATTTTATATATTATATCTTACAATATTTAAATAATACAATAATCAAAAATTTGTATATATATAAAAATATATAAAATATTATATCCCAAAATTCAAAGATCCAAAAGTTTCATAATCCAATATGTGTTATAAAAAAATAATGTTAACTTTTAAAAATAAAATTATTATTAATTCATCTTTTGCCTCAGATCAATATCATTCGATAACTAAATATAGAAAAATTAGAGAAAACAAAATAAAATAAAGATATATGTATTAAATAAAAATTCTTAATTGTCAAATATTCAATTCTCTTATCAAATTTAATTTATATACTCAATTTATTTTAATGAAAAAGTTTGCAACGAAACGATTTATGAAATTATACATATATATATTTAAATAATATTTACCAGTGATTAATACAAGACCAGTCCTTACAAGATATTCCCATAATTTTCTGTAAGAATTTTTTTCAAGACGTGGACTCAAATATTCGTTCCAAACAATGTCGATTGCAACGTAACATTGAATAGGTTGAGTGAAATAAATAGCCAATGCAAGAAGTAATTGTACAGATTTCGCTAATGCTTCGTTAGATGGAAGATTCAACGTGATACTGCCTTTTATGTCACTACCATAACGTATATATCCACAAAATCCCATTCCGGCATACAAAACAACGATTGTACCCATGCCAATATTTAATACACCACACGGAGCTGTGAAATATTTTGGTTTCTTCATCTCATTTTCCAAAGGCATAATCTGTAAATTGTACAACAAATTATACAAGGTGTCATAAATACATTATGATCGAAAGAATACATTTTTACAAAATTTTATTACAAAATCTCAAGGCACCGGCGCCTGACACGACCTGAACATGAAGTTGAGTGTCAGTCACTAATGACTGACGTGGCACTCTCAACGTGTTAATAAATGATTTAAAATAATAAAATTTTCTTGTCAAATGTTAAAAATATTTTTTAAATAAAAAAAATCAATTATGAATAATTATATGAACTTACCACACCGATAGCCTCAAGTGCAAAGAGTACAGTCCCAAAATAAAGAGGAAAATTTTCGATTTCTCCAATCGGTTCACGATTATCAAATGATAAAGGATCCTTGAATATGTAGTAGAGTATTATACTAAAACTTACGAAAGTTATAACAGTGGCAACTTTCGAACAGGGCACCAAAAATTTCAGATTTTTAATCCAGTTAATAAAAACCAATGGCAAAATTAATAATACCATGTAGATTTTATCGGTCATATAAACTTTTGCGTCTTCGGAAAGGAAACTTTCCAGTGCCTAAATATAAACAAACAAAAAAAGAAACTTTAATTAATATTCCATTTTTTGTTTAATGATTTTCATTAATTCTAATACGTATGAGAAAAAAAAACAAGATTTTAAGGAGACAAATAAATAAAATGGAAAATTTTCTATTTGTAAATTATATAATTACATATATATGTATATTATTTTTAATTGTCAATGAACAAAAAAAAAGAATTATACTCATATTAAAACACTTTAAATTGTGCGTCACAATAATCTATTATTTATATCCTTGCACGTGAAAGACAGTGACACTTATCGTGTTATTATAATTAATTCAACGAGATCTAAAGATAAAAACAATTCGTTGCAAAACAACAAAATATAAACATGTTATAATATATATATATAAAATAACTATAGACGAATTTAAATTACTTTGACATGATATTATATGTATATGCGGATGGTTATCATAGAATTAACTCAACCGTAAAATAGTTATATATATATATAAGATATTAAATAGATATTTAATTAAATAACAAATCAAATAGAAACGTTTTTTTGTTCAATACTGAGATAACGATAACATGTATTTACTATCATTTTGATTGCTAATTAATTTACACGCAATTAACTATTGAAAATGGGATTATCGATTTACGCGAGATTAGAAGAAATTATTGGCACGTGAATTTCTATCTTGATAAATATTGTAATATGTAATCAATAATCATACTCGCGAAGTCTTGAAAATTTGATAAAATAATTATTTATGTTTCTAAATTGGTACGTGATAATTTCCTATATGAATTGTAAATATTTTTAATTATGGCGCCAATTTGAAAATTGAAAAGAATGCATTTATGCAATTATTTAATTATAAGCTATTTTTCAATACTTTAAATAAATGATTAGTATTTTAATATAAAATATTTGTTAATGTTTTCAAATATTAAATGATCAATATTTTAAATCAAATAATTATTAATATTACAATTATTTAAAACCGAAAATATCAAAATATAACCATTTATTATTATTATAATAATTCGTTAATATTTTATATTTTTAAAAAATTAATATTATTTAATATTTTATATCGAATAAATAAACAATATTTTTTACTAATAAAATTCTATCTCATACTTATAGTTAATTGTTTTATATTAAACAAATGATAATTTACTGACACTATAAATAAATAATAATAACAACTTTTGCAAATTACTTTTTATAAAATTTCATAAATAAATAAAATTAATAATAACCCAATTATCAAAATTAATCTTTTAACCCTTTGAGTGCTGAATACTTTTAACTAAAATGTTTTGTAGGAACGGAATAATTTATTATTAACTAGATTCTAATAATTAATTATATTTAATAATGAAAGTTTTTCTTCTTTCTGAATATCATTTAATAAATTAATATAAACATTATATTATTTTACATTAATATTAACAAACACGTATAGACTACTCTGGTTATTTTTATAATACAAAACGCATATATACGTCCATAGCACTCTAAGGGTTAATATTTAACAGTCAATCGAACCTCTAAAATGAATTTCATAAAAGCATCAAAACAATTTTCACATTTCATAAAATTAAACAATTTAATTTAACACTTTAATGGCCGCTCACACAACATGTGTGTCATAGCCGAAACAACAATTATTATTTATTTATACATTTAAAATTATATAAAATTAAATTAATTGTTAAATCTTTGTTGTTGTTTTTTGTTTGTTTTATGTTAAATTTGTCGTGAATTTGATTCAAATTTTTTTCAAATTAATTTTTCAAAAATATTATACCGAAACTCTAGTGACGTTAGACTACGTAGTCGTGCGGCCATTATTAAAGTGTTAAAATAAAAATATATCCTAACTTCTATCATAAATCGTACAAAATTATTTTTATTTATTTTTATTATCAAAAGATCGTGACTCGTGAGAGAAAAAAAAAAAAGAAAAAGAAAACATAATTCATAATGAACATTCTTCGGATTCCATTGGTTTTTATTTTCTTTTATTTTTAAACCTAAAGTTGACTACTATAATCAACCATAATCAACTGCGGTGGCCTTCTCTTCACACTGGTCACACGTTATCGCGAGTACTGTATAATTATTAGTCGGAAACGTGGAAATTGTGTGGAAATCGTTCATACCTATGACTCACATATGATCATGCATACTCATGTATAGATACACTAATACGTATAGACACACACATACATATAAATAGATGGTTAACGTTCATAGATGATTGCATTCATGCTCAAATGAGAAAGAAAAAGAGATAGATAAATAGATGAATAAAAACAGAGAAATATAATATGAATAGAAGTAAAAACAGTCACGGTTAATGATCTGTGTTATAATTTCACAAAGAGAAAGTAAATGATCATCGAGTTTATATTTTTAATCAATTTATAAATGTTTTCATACTAATTTAGTTTTTGTTTTGACTTCTTTACCAACCTTCCCTCCTAACCTAACCTCTTTCAGCAACGTTTGCATAGAAAATAAAAATAGAACTTGAATAATTGACAAATTCGATTATTTAAATTTATCTATTGTGTATTATAATTGTTTAAACGTTTCAAATAATTTCAATGATTGTATTCTTTCAAGGTTAAGCGGAAATGAGCTCGAACGCGTTTGGCACATAACATATCACATCGATGCATCTAACCTTCCATTTGCGTAACACCATGACGCAAGATTTTGCTCATGGCAAAATTTTTACCTTTATCCTATGCATCTATGCATTTATGTGTATGTGTGTGTGTGTGCGTAAACGCATCCTTTTCTATAATTTTCTCTTTTACTTTATATTATATCTTGATTATCTTTTAATACTTTAATGGCTGCACGTGTACGCAGTCAAACGTCGTCAGGGGCCTGATAATATTTATCAAATATTAATGTAAAAAAAAACTTCATTGTAATTCACGAAAAAATTAACATAAAACAAAAAACAACAATTTAACAACAAATTTAATTTTATATATAAAGTTATAAATAAAATAACGGCCAATGTGTGTTTCGGCTATCACACACATGTTGTATGAGCGGCCATTAAAGTGTTAATAATTATACTTCATCGTTTTGTTCATCTAATAAGATGATTTATAATAATAAAAGATGACGTAATTAATCAAAATTGTTTTTATCAATATATATATATTGATTAGAAAGTTATTTCAAAATTATAATAGTTTCTAATGTGTTTCATGTTATAATAATCGTAAAAGAAACTTTTTTTGTATACTAAATCGATTTACGATCTTTTCACATCGACAATGTGAATTCATTCGTGACAATAAAAAAAAATTTGTACACAAAAAAAAAAAAAGAAAGTAATCGATAGAATAATTTTCATTATAATATATTTCGCAACTACTTCATATTATTTTAAATAATATACTAATTCAATATATTACCGTTAAAAACATATTCACGTAATTTTTAAAATTAGAACTAAATTAGAACAATGACATCTTTGTATTAAAATATTTATAACGTCATACGTATGTGTAATAAAAAAACGTTCTAAGAAAAATGTCTGACAATAGGCAAAAGGAAAAAAAGTAAAATAGAAAAAAAAATGAAATTACGTAGTGTCGTATTATTAATGAAGATCTAAAGATCAATTGTATCGATATTGTAATGTAATTACAAGAAAAATGATTAATCAGGATGAGAGACACATTTTGAATTTAAAAAATTTTCGCAACAACAAAAGCAGCAGCAACAGCAGTTGCAATAGCATTAAGAAAAGTTATATACCTAAACATATATTTTCATTCGTTTATACTTCTTAGAATCTAAACGATTAACATTGTCGATTCATTTCGTACCGTTGATATTTCTTATCGTCTAAACAATTGGTACAACGCATGGCAAATCGTTTAGATTCGGCCGTTTAAGATTTATAGTTTATGTGTAAGGTGAATATTTCTCACCCATGTATATGTGTTATATACATATAACTTACTGTTTAAATAGTATTAAACTTATCCTGTCATTACGTGATACTACATGCGTAGCTAACACGTTTTATTAATCATTAAAATGAGACACCGTTTGAATAATTAAAATTAATCGAAGTACGATGAGTAATCATAGTAATCTTTCGAGTTGTGATTATTACATTCAAAGCGTTACACTTAACCATAAGGTTCATTTTAAACGCAAACTAAAACCACACACATATACACACGTGCAATTTCAAACTATATTTGTCCCATAATATTAAATAATATCAAATATATAATTAAACATTTTTATTAAACACTTTAATGTGTGTTTATTTTATTTAAATTAACTCGTAACAATTTTGTAATTGATTTTTTTTTTTTATTTAAAATTATTAGTTTACATTAGAATTGAAATATATATTTATTATTTTTTTTAATTAATATTAAGATAAATTAAATGACAACGGTACGACACGCATAATTTCAAACTATATTTCTTTCATAATATTTTGTTTCATTATTATATCAAATTATATATATAAATATTTATTATTATATCAACAATATAATTTAATATATTTATTAAATACATTTTAATGTGTGTTTATTTTATTTCATTTAACGCGTAATAATTTTATAATTGATTTTTTTTTATTTAAAAATATTTTTAATCATTAAATTTAAATTAGAATTGCAATATATATATATATTTATATATATATATTTTTTTTTAAATTAATATACAAAAAAATTAAACGACAACGGTATGACATTAATCACATTTTTTGTTATAATAATATTAAATAAAAAATTTAATGATCTTTGCAATTATTGCATCTTTTCTTCTCTTTTGAAAATATATTTAAAAAAATTAAGAAAAATTTTGATGAAAATCAATGTTATTTTACAAATATAGATATACGTTTAATATTATGGTGTATTTTCGATAAGTTCATAAACTGAAGAATAAACGTGAGAAAATATAATACAACGTGCAAAGAATCGGTTACTCTCACGAACAACAAAGATGGATCAAACACTTAAGATAATATTGTTAGTTAGTAACTAGTTACAAAGTTATAAGTCCTCTTATATTAAGTTCTCGTGATATGAGAGTGTAAGTATACTTAATACTCGCGCGATAGTTCTTTTATCTTGATTTATTTCACTTACTACTTTTACATTTAATACACTTTCTTGTATGAAAGTTACAATGGAATTAAATCTAATCGTGACAGGTGATAGTTATTAAAATTGAAAAAAAAAAAAATTATTTAAGATTTGTGATCTTTAAACGTGAATTATTAATGTGTTAATAAGTTTAAATGCAAATATTTGTACATAATACAAGAAGAAAAATCATATTATTTATAAAGAATTGTATTTGTGAAGATAATGAAATTTTTTAACAAGAACAAATTTATCGTTCTGTTGTTATTTTTAATATATGTGTTATAAATAAAATGATGTAATTAATATGACAAATTCAAAAAAAAAAAAAAACAACAAGAAATATTATTTGCGATTAAATCTGATCAAAATAAAAGATACTTGTTTAAATAAAATTAATATATATATTTTTTTTTTGTTATATCTTAATATGTGTTATCACGTTTCAATAAGTATTATTGCAAATTAATAGAAATAAAATATTCAAAAATAAATATTAATGAATTTAAATGAAACATAATCTAAAAAATGTATCAATCTTATTATTTGTAATGTTTAAGAAATGAGAACAAATATAATTAATATGAAAAATAAAAATTAACAAATAAAACGAATATTATTTGCGATGAAATCTGATCAAAATAAGAAATGCTTTTTAAAATAAAATTGTTATATATCTTGACATGTGTTATCTCAATACTTCTCGAGTATTATTGCAAATGAAATATAAAAAAAAAAAAAACAAATACAAATATAATTAATGTGAAAAATAAAAAATAACAAATAAGACGAATGTTATTTGCAATTAAATCAGATAAAAATAAAAGATACTTGTTAAAATAAAATTAATAACATTTTTTTATATCTTGACGCGTAAAAGAAACGAAAAACAAAAAAAAACAAAATTATGTTATTAAAAATGAAACAATACAAAAGAAAAAAAATTATATCATTCTTATTGTGTTCTAATGTTTGTCAAGAAAAGATATAATTAGCTGAGATAAAATGTAAAAGTGAGAAAATTAAATTGTAATGACAAATAAAATTTGCTATTTTAAAATAGATGTTATCGCGTGAAAAGTTAATGTGTGAATTTTTGTTCATTTCACTCTTAAAATCTGACAGTGAAATATCTCTCCTGTTTCAATTTGTTGTTTAAAATTTTTTAATCTTCTTTCGTGTAAACGATAACGGTTATTCGTGTGTGCACACGTGGCTTTTGGTGTACGTTATGTTAGAGATATTTTCACGATCCGATCACGACGGACGTTACACAACCAAGTGAGCGGCATACCGATGCCGTTGAGGTATCAATTGCAGGTGCATTAACCCGATATCAAAACTTTCGCACGAAAAATGAAGGGGAAGAAAAAAAGAAAGAAAAAATACAAAAACAAAATAAACGAATGAGAAATAGTATACATATATATATACATATGAAGAAATAGAAACACTAATTTCTACAACAGTCTTTCGTAACTGTACTTCATCTATTAGACATCTGATATGCATATAAATGTACCTATATACATATGGTAATATGTAATTAATGAATACGTGTATAGTTTCTATAAACACATGTATATATACGTTGTAATTAATGCTTACACCTTAGCAATATTATTATTTTCATAATAATATTTTGATAATATAAATCATCGTGCAACAAAAATTGTATTATAACGTAATTTTGTAATTGTAAATAAAATGTAAAATATTTTGAAATCAAATTTTGTACAAGGGGGAGAAAAAAATATAAAAAAATTATTTCAAACGAGAACTAGATTTTATATCTTATATTTAGGTAATTACTTTTTCAACACTAGTGAATATAATTAAATGAATATTTTGTAATATAAATAAATATAATTAAAAAAAATTAAATAGTTTCGAATAAATAAATATATATAGATATATTTGTATTGTAATTCCATTAATCAAAAATAATAAAAAAAAAAAAATAAAAATTACTAGAACATAATGTTATGGAATAATTATAATTTTAATTAATTTAATAATTTTAATTAAATTTGTGTATTTCATTTATTTGTAATTAATTTTAATTAAATGTGTATTATTAATTTATTTTTAATTAATTTATTATTTAATAATTTTAATTAAATGAATAGAAAGTGTGAAGAGAGTGTCATTTTATTTTGAATAAAATTTGAATGAATTATTAAAAATAAAATGATCATTTTACATGTAAAATTAATATTCATCAAATTGACAAGAAATATCCCATAAACCTTAATGTTAATGTAGATAAATCTAATCCTAAGTTTTATCATTAATACTAGGACATATCCCATATACGTATATGTGTCTATAATCCCATATATGGGTGTACTTGTATCCATTATATGGACTCAAGTAAAGTGAGACGAGATTCTGGTTTACGCCTCAAGCACATTGCCTTCCGCAAGCTCTATTCACTTGTCGTAATAAGGAATGTCGTAACGGCACGGTAAACACACATACATATATACAATTACTTTACAATCATCTATCTATGGGTATGTTCTATCTAACATAAGTAACTGTAGCTTCATAGAAATCAACTGACATTGTGATTTTTATACGATTTTTAATCAATATTTTACACCTTATTAAATATTATCCTAAATAATTACGATTATTGTTATTAGAAATGTAATCAAATAAAAATAAAAATAACAAATAAAATTTTATCAAATTTTTAGCGCGTTATTTTAAAAGATATATATATGTATACATAAAATAAAATCTAAAGAAATAATTTTTATTGAATAATTTATATGGTGTTTTTGAACTAATAAATATTACAGAGTGTATAAAATAAACCCATAAACTTTTAAATAAATATTAGATATTAAATAATATTTCTAATATTATTTATAATATTCTTTATTAATTAATTAATATTTATTTATAATAATTAATAATAATATTATATTTATAATAAATTAATATCAATTAATTAATTAATAAAAATTAGATATTAAATAATTAATAAATAAAGCATATTAGATATTATCTTAAAATATACATATTACAATTATTGTTATTATAAATGTAATCGAATAATAAATAAAAATAAAAAATAAAATCTTATCGAATTATTTTCTTTTTTACTTTAAAAAGTATATAACAAAAAAAAAACTCGAAGAAATAATTCGATTAATCTATATGGTGTTCTTGAAGTAACACATACTATAGTGTATAAAATCAACCTATAAACGTTTCGATTTCGTTCGTCCTTGTTTTTTGATAACTTGAACTTTCATATTTGGAAATGAACGATAGATAAAATATCTTAATTATAATAATCGTAATTAGAAGGTTTTACACGTGCAATTTTTGATTACCTTGAGTCAAACGTTAAGAATTAATTACGTTGAATCCACTATTACTACTACTATTACTCTTTCGTTGTATTTCCCTGACCTAGATTACTCCTTTTCTCTACCATCGATATAACTCGACTGGAACGAATACGTTCTAATACGTTCTTATAAGAATTTACGTTAGTTAGATTTACTACGATTAGTATTATAATTTAAAAAAAAAAAAGACAAAACAAATATATGCATATATATATTAAAAAGTATCAATGTACTCACCCTTCTTAAATTATTTGCAATGAACACGACGTAGACACAACAACTACCCAATTGATAAATTAATAAGAAAGTATTGGTTACGTGTCTGCAAAAAAAAAAAAAAATAATAAAAATAATTTTTATTTATTTGAAAAAACAACAATTTTAAAAATATATGTAAATGTGTATTTAAATATAGAATATAATTTATTAAGAAAACAAAATATAATATATATGTATACTAGTAATTTTGACAACGATTTAATTAAAAATAAGAAAAAAAGAAAATATTTTAAAAATATTTATTTTATTTAATAATAATCTATTTTATCAAATTTTCAATATCCATATATAATCCAAATTTCTAAATTAATTATATGCAAATTTATATAAATTTACATATATTATAATATTTACAAAATATATGTATATACCAGTAAATAATAAAAACAAATAAATTTAATATATTATATATATAATATATTAGTAAATTATTTAAATATATTTAATAAATATTAAAATAATATTTATTTTATATAATCATAATTTTTTTATATGATCAAATAAACAATATAATATCCAAATTAATAAATTAAATATATGCAAATATCGTTCACATAAATATTTTTAATTTAATATTCAATTAATTTTAATAATAAGTATAATAAAAAAAGAAAATATAATATTTTGAATAAAATTCATAACACTTACATGGAATATTTGGAAAACCACCTCAAACAAATTGGACCTTCTTCTAAAGCAGCTTCTATAGTTGCAGGATAAGTCATGGATGCTACCTTCTTTCTCTTACACAAGATGTACATCGAAGTTACGAGCATTCTCATGCAATATGTACAAAGTAGACCAATGATTATCGTAGCAACCATGCCTAACGCGTATCCCGAATTGTGAAAGGCCATTGGCATTGCAAGAATTCCAGTACCTAAACTACCTTTTAATAAATGAAATAATGTCTCCACGGTTCTGAAAGTAAAAGTATAACAATAATATTATTATTTTATTGAATAAATACATATAAACAAAAATTTACAAAATTGTTAAATAATTATTAAAGTATGAAAGGTCAGATTACTTTCATAGTTCGAAAAATATTTGAATATTTTATTAACTTATTAATATAATAATATATATATAACAAATAATAATATAAAAAAAAAACTTTAACATATGTTTTATAAACAAATGCAAAAAAATGAAAACTTTCGAGTTATCGAATTTTTCGTTTCTTTATTTTAATTTGAATTGATTTATTTTAACACTTTAATGGCCGCTCATACAACATGTGTGTGATAGCCGAAACACACATTGGCCGTTATTTTATTTATAACTTCATATATATAAGTTAAATTTGTTGTTAAATTGTTACTTTTTGTTTTATATTAATTTTTTCGTGAATGACAATAAAGTTTTTTTTAAATTAATTCTTGAAAAATATTACCGGGCCCCTGACGACGTTTGACTGCGTAAAAGTGCGGCCATTAAAGTGTTAATTATCTTATTTTTTTATAGTATAAATGTAATTATATCATAAACAAAATTGTGTTATTTTTTATTTTATTACAATAAATCAATGTAAAAGATTTGTATTTGTAATAAACTAACAAGTATATATTTATATGTTTTAAAGTGTATGAATTTGATGCTACGAATAACAATTAATAAAACATTATTATAACCTTTTGTATAACCTAATAAAATTCTAATATGACCTTATGTATAACTTAATAAAATATTAATATGACCTTCTATAGAAAGATATTACTGGAATGTCCTTAAAAATAAAAGTTCAAAATAAACCTTTAGTTTGAATTCAGTAAAAATCGTGACAGTTATTTATCTTTGTCCAAACGAGACGAAGGAAGAATATAAAAAAGATCATTTTATATTCTAATTTATACTAATATATATATATACGTAATTTATACTAATTGAATAAAAGATATCATAGATACACACAAACTCGTATAGTGTTAACACAAAACTTTCATATAAAAGTATAACAAACGTATATTTAAAATATATATATTGATCATGCAAAATTTTGTCTTAGAAGAACAAATAAAACATTAATAATATTAAAAAAAAATAAATAAATTTATTATGTTAATTTTATATATTTATAATATTATAAATTATTATAATAATAAATTATTAAATTATTTTATAATATTATAATATTAAATTTATGTAATATTTAAATAAAATATAATAATATTTATCGTACAAAAAAGAATAAATGTTTTTCGTAAATAAATTTTTATATTTCAATTTAATTATTAAAAAAAAAAAAAAAACAAATTAACTCTCGGTATTTAAAAATTATTCAAAAATAATGGAAGATAAAATATATGTTATCATTAAATACAATGTGTCCAATTTCTAACTAAAAGTAATCAAAGTAATCTAACGTTTCATACTTAATAACTTAATATAAATGTTATAGAAAATAAATGAAAAAAAATCAAATATACACACATATATATATATAGATATATTAAAATAAACCCTGAACAAGTTAATAATAAAAAAGATGCACGTATTTGTTAAGGTCAAAGGAAAAAATTTGTAAATCTTTATATTATATTATACATGACCGTAATCATAAATTAAATTTAATACTAACGTGGTTGGATGTGCAACAGTTCTATGGTCGTATGGTTCATAATCATCATCGTCGTATTCTTGAATACCTTTCTTCTTTTCTTCGAGTTCTAACGTGTAGATATTTGCCCGGTCATTCGTTTTTGTGTTACTGTAAGATACGAATGCAAAAAGGGAAGAAAAAAAAGTGTAAATAAAATTTGTTAACAAAAATATATTCCATCGAGACAACCATTCATAATACACCGTTCGTTTGGTTTTCCTCGTTGGAATAAAGATTTCAAGTTTAAATGCGTGTGTACATACTTGTGTTGCATCGGTACGGAACTCGAGTGCCATCCTTTTGGTTCCAAAGCATCCTGAAAAAAAAATAAAATAAAATTAAAAATAAAATTAAAAAATTACTCAGGCACAAGTAAAAAGACAGTTATTTAAACGTTTATCTCATCCAAAAGGATTCGTAGTTGGCAAATGACAAAATTTTTCTTTCATTATTACTTTAAAGATTATTATTTGTTTCTCAACGGCATCGAGAGAGAGAGAGAGAGAGAGAGAGTATAATGAATCATTCAACAGTAATCTTATCGCGGAAAAAGATTATATTAATAATCCTCCAAAAATCTTTTATGATTCGCGTCAATTTACGTCAGTTTAAGAGGGGTCTTTATTGAAAATAAAATTTCAACATTTTTTTTATTGTGTTTTGTTTTCAACATTGTTCGTACAAGCGTACACATATTACGTACGCTTACTTACGTGTATAACTCATCAAATTTTCTAAGAAACATTAAGATACATCCGAATCTTATTTTATCGTGTTTTTATATCGTTCCAAAATATTATTTGGCAAATTAAATTAAATTAAAAATTATTCTATTAAATATAATTGATATTTCTTTCAAGATAATAATTAAATTTGTTGTTTTTCGTTTAATATTTAGTTTGTTTTCAAAAATTATATTATATATATATATATATATATATATATATCTTATCTTCTTAATATATATAAATTACGTATCACATTGTTTGTCCGCAATGAACTCCTATATTACTGAACCGATTTTAATAAAGTTTTGCACAATGTGTGCAGTTTCATCCAACTTGAAAGATAGGATAGTTTATATCTCAATTTATAATCGCAATATTATTTTATTGCGAATTATTTGTTTATTAACAAAGAGTCATGATTATCTCTGTTAGTTCGATAAGATTCTAACAGATGGCGGTATAATATATATAATATAATTTTTGTAATATAATTTATAATATTTATATATATAATATTTTTAAATGTAATTATAACACATAATTTTTAATTTATGTATATATATAAAAAATATGTGTGAAAATAAAGAAGGTGATTTTTAATAATTGTTTTAAAATTCATTAATTATGTTTTTTTTTGTTCTGCTTTTTTTTTCGTAAGACATTTATATACAATTTTTTTTATAGCAAAAGAAAAGAAAGAAACAAATATATATTGTAAAATTATTAAACCTATATCGAAAAAAAAAGTAGATTTTTAATTAAATAAAACATTTAATTAGATTTTATTTTTAATAGAACAAAAAAAATTTTTATAATTTGTATTAAATTTTATTTGAAATTTTTCATAATCATCGTGTGTCAAAGGTTTTCTTTAATTTTTGGTCGTAATTGTAGAAATATGTTTTAGTTAATTTTATTATTTAATTATTATTATTATTATTAATATTTACGTGCTTTTTTGTTGAATTTTTGTAAACGAGAAAAATTATTTGTACGAATACCATTTTTTGTTCTTTTACGATAATTTGAATAAAAGAAAAAAATTTTAAATCTTATTTTTATTTTGTGTAAAAGATATTGTGAGATTAGATTTTGTTCTTTCAAAAATTCCTTTTTTCTTTTCTGTTGAAATATGAGAAAAACATTCTTTCAGTGAACCGTACATTACCGGACGATATTTTACGCTCGTAATTCAAACACGTGCGATTAATAAACGTGGAAAAGGAAGGAAAAACGTTCACGATACGTCCACTTCCCTAAAGCGATTTTTCAAACGAATGAATATTTATGACATTTCGACCACGTACAATCGATCCTGCAATTACGATTCTTTCGTAATCGATTTCTATGTACGCTGTCCTTCGATTATAAATTCGATTGCTATTTCTACCAAGAATTATTTAAACCCTAGAAAGAGAAAGAGAGAGAAAAAAAAAAACATATTCATCACGATAATTTTTTTATCCATACAACACAAAGGAAAAAATATTACATATATATATTATGTATTAATTATAATTGTTATTTAATATTGTGTTTGTTTCCTTTAAGGTAGCGAAATAACTTTGAAAGTATACTTCTATAGTGTGTAAAATTATTGTTTTGTTACATTCAATCACGGATTTCGTCGTATTTACATTAGGTCACTTTAAAAAAAAACAACAAAAACCACGCAATTCTGTAATTTTCCTGTAAGTCTTGTCTGATCAAGAATTATATATATATCTGTATTAATTATAATTGTTATTTAATATTGTGTTTTTTTTTTCCTTTAAGGTAGCGAAATAACTTTGAAAGTATACTTCTATAGTGTGTAAAATTATTGTTTTGTTACATTCACTCACGGATTTCGTCGTATTTACATTAGCTCACTTTAAAAAAGAAAAAAAAAACCACGCAATTCTGTAATTTTCCTGTAAGACTTGTCTGATCAAGAATTAACGTATCTACTTCTCGATCTTATATCTTAGTGTCGAATACCAATGAACTTTAAAACGAATAAATTATAGTTTATTATACTTCGTTGAATATATTACTTTTTTATATTTTCTTCTTTTATTTTTGTTTTTCTTTTTCTTTTCATTATTATGATTTTTTCTTTTTACTGTCTTACTTCGATGACCATATATATATATATATATATACATTTTATATATTATTATTATATATTATTATATATATAAATATATTTTATGAATAAGTCAGTAATTGACTTCGTCTGTCCCCGATGTTTCAGGGGACTTGTCCGAGACTGTTGTGCACATGACATTATTATTTATGAATTATATACATAAATAATTATATATAATTAATATATAATTATATATAATTATATATTATATGTAATTATTGATTATACATGTTATTATATCTATTATTATTATTTTATATATATTATACAAGGTATTTATATAGTCAAGGTATTATGTATTATTATTATATATATTATTTATATATATATATATATATATATA